CCTCTCAGCCAGAAGGGCCTGGGTTTAAATCCCGGTCGGAACAGGCCTGCATACAGTAGGTTTCCTCCAGGTACTCCGGTTTCCCCTACCACTGAAAACATGCTCACTAGGTTAAATCCTCCAGCTCTGGTTCTGACCAAGCCGAGCATCAACATCTGGAGTTTCTCGGGCGCTGTTACTACGGCGACCACTGCTCCTGATGTAAGCATCAGTGGCATCAGTATGGGTCAAATGCAGAAGATTGAATTGCCCTACGGGGATTAATGAAGTGCACCTTTACTGCTATTTTGTCTTGTTTAGTATAGTTTAAGTTTGTTTTTTGTTTTTGCTTTTGTCGGCTAGCTAATGTGGCTAATGAGGCTAATATTTGGATAAATGTCTTTCTCTTTTTGAGTCGACAGATTTAAGTCGATAGAATTATAGATATTTAAATAATCCTCAAACCCGTAAAGACATGGCCTGAGGGAGAGTGAGCAGCTTCAGCGGCGTGTGCCTCTGGTGTGTCTCTGGTGTCAGGACCAGAGTGAGTCATAGACCACTCCTCTCACACTAGTCTCAGCCTGTGCTACCTCTGAGGCGCTCACTACATCAGAGAGACACCAGAGATACACACAGACACACACAGGGATACCAGAGACGCACACACAGAGAGACACCAGGGACACACACAGGGACCAGAGACACACACAGAGAGACCAGAGACACACAGGGACCAGAGACACACACAAAGAGACCAGAGACACACACAGAGAGACCAGAGACACACACAGAGAGACCAGAGACACACAGGGACCAGAGACACACACAGAGAGACCAGAGACACACACAGGGACCAGAGATACACACAGACACACACAAGGACCAGAGACACACACAGAGAGACCAGAGACACACACAGACACACACAAGGACCAGAGACACACACAGAGACCAGAGACACACATAGAGACACACACAGGGGCTCACAGAGAGAGACATTAGTGACAGAGACACATACACACAGACCAGAGCGAGACCAGAGCGAGACCAGAGCGAGACCAGAGCGAGACCAGAGCGAGACCAGAGCGAGACCAGAGCGAGACCAGAGCGAGACCAGAGAGAGACCAGAGCGAGACCAGAGCGAGACCAGAGCGAGACCAGAGCGAGACCAGAGCGAGACCAGAGAGAGACCAGAGCGAGACCAGAGAGACCCGTGAGAAAGAGAGACCAGAGAGAGACCAGAGAGAGACCAGAGCGAGACCAGAGAGACCCGTGAGAAAGAGAGACCAGAGAGAGACCAGAGAGAGACCAGAGCGAGACCAGAGCGAGACCAGAGAGACCCGTGAGAAAGAGAGACCAGAGAGAGACCAGAGCGAGACCAGAGACACCAGAGAAGAAGGAGCTGCAGGGATTTGGACGGATGACGAACGGTAAGACGATGCATGTGTTCTAATCTAAACCTGGATCACAGAACTTTTAAAAATGAACCGTTTATTACAAATCTGTCTCTGGGTCTGGATCTGTATCGGTTTCTCTTCCAACACTGGTTTACACATGTTTTAAAACAAGATCTGGATTTGAGCTGGAGCCCTGGAGGAAAACTATTGTGACAAAACTAAACTCTGTGCAAACACGATGCATCAGTTTTCATTTATTACCTGCAGAGAAACATGGTTCAGGATGGGGTAGATCATGAGACAAAAAGAAAATATGTAGAGTTTCAGATTCATTCAAGAGTTTGCAGTCTTCCTGAAAATGTGAGACAGGCTTTTTCTCTGAGAATTTTTAAATTCGACCCTTTTTCACCCGAGAGATTTTCTATATGAATGAAATAAATATTAGATGTATATAAGATTTTTTTTAGGAAAGACCCGCCCTCTCCACTGTTTGAACAAAACTCTGCTCTTATTGGACGAGCACGTATCACCAGAATGATTGACAGTTGGGGTGATGATCCACCCGGAAGTAGAAAATCCTCCTGTATACCTTTAAGATTAAGGCTTAAAAACTTGTCCTAATCAGAGGAGTTTTAGAGAACTGGGTGAATTAGGGCTGGGAACTGGCAACAATGTGAGGATTTGACAGATATTTGGGCCACAATTCAATATTATTGCAATTCTTAACATATCGTGATACAGTATCGTGATTCTTAACGTATCGTGATTCTTAACATATCGTGATTCTTAACATATCGTGATTCTTAACATATCGTGATTCTTAACATATCGTGATTCTTAACATATCGTGATTCTTAACATATCGTGATTCTTAACATATCGTGATTCTTAACATATCGTGATTCTTAACATATCGTGATTCTTAACATATCGTGATACAGTATCGTGAGTCTGTGATATATTGAGATTCATGTCCTTTATGAACAAACAGACATCAGACACAGAAACTCAGAAAACACAAAAGTGAAATAGATCATTATTTTACTAAATATTTAAACACTGAATACAACAGATTTTTTGCACAACGACAGTAGCTCAGTTGGTAGAGCATTGGCCTTAAGCCCAGAAGGTCGTGGGTTCAATTCCCACCTCTGCACCTTCTCCACCGACTCCCACTGATGACTGCTGTCGTTGTGTCCTTGGGCAAGACACTTAACCCCACTTTGCCCAAAAGCCCCCACTGAAAGATCAAGGCTATGCTCACAGTCAGAGAGCAGCCGTCCTCCTGTGGACTCACCACCTGCAGAGGGTCAGTGAGGGGCTGGTGCTATGAGACTTGGGTGGCATCTCTGACTGCCACCCCCCTGACCCAGAAATGGATTAAAGGGTAGAAAATGGATGGATGGATGGATGGATATTTGTTTTAAGTTTATCAGTGTAGAGTGAGTGAACAATTAACATTTTAGCCACAGCTGCCTTGGGGCACACAGACAGAAGCGACCACACACACACACACACAGTCTGGAAGGAGTTCCCATGATGCTTAGCACTTGTTGGGCCCTTCACTCTGTGGTGCAGCCCCAAAACCATCTGGACTGGGTTCAGGTCCGGTGACTGTGGAGGTCATGTGGCCCAGCACCATCTCTCTCCTTATTGGTCAAACAGCCCTTTTCATGACTACAGCAATGGTCATGAAAAGAACTCAGTGAAGGAGAGAGGGTGTCCAAACCTTTGCTCTGTACTGTATGAAGATGGAGATAGATACTGTAGATCCAGGACTCTCCACATTCAAGGACATTTATCAACATTTCTGGACATCTGTCTCTGCTCCTTTTGCACCAATGTGATCTGTGTTTTTATCGTTGCATTTCTTGTGTTTGAGTTTCTGATCTGTGTCGGTGAATTCAACATGAAGTCCTCAGAGATTCTTGCTGTGACAGAAACAATACAGATTCTTCTTCAGACCTGGACAGAACATGTTGGAGTCTTACGTAAATCTCACTCCAGCAGTGACGGGTCTTATCCTGTAGCAGCGACGAGGAATTCTTCCCCCACGAGTCCAAACGTGATCAGGAAGATAAAAGCTTCTGCTACGCAAGACTTTAAAGTAGGATTCTTCTCTTCTTTGTCGACGCAGGAGGGTCTAGGGTCAGAGAGGATCCAGGACACGCCACATTTAACCACATTTATGTAGATCAGTCTCTGTCTTTGTCTCTTATGGACCAATGTAATTAACAAGTATTTTGATTAAGAATAAGAATGAAGACATTCAGTAATTCAGTAAGATCTTTGATATTGGATTAGTTGAAGTCCATTATTTTTGAGCAGCAAATATTCCAGTAACAAGTGTGTTTTTTCTCATTGCATTGACTGTGTCTGATTCTCTGATCTGTTGTTAATGAATCGACAGCTTCTGTTGTGATTTAGAGATACTTGGATACACTGAGTGGTAACGGTACGATGGAGTTGGTTCTTTTTGTTTAGACCAGACTTACAGTGACTCAGTTGTAGAGCATTGACCTTTGAGCTCAAAGGTCATGGGTTCGAGTCCACCACGAGACCTTCTCCACTGCCTCCCACTGATGTCGTTGTGTCCTTGGGCAAGACACTTAACCCACTTTGCCCATAAGGAGCGCTGCTTGCCTTGATGTGTATGTGTATGCATCAGACTGAAATTTACCCATTAACGGACGAATAATAACGGCTTATTAACCGAGCGCAAGGTCTGTACAGAGAAATATTAGACCTTGGCCTTTTTGTACAGACCGAGCCTCTGATATTTCTTTGTACAGACCGAGCAAGCGAATTTATGCAAATATCGGTTTCAACACTAGCAAAAACACATTTGACCAAACTGTCAAACTGTGACATGAAGAACTGATCAGAAGATTGAGGCGCCCGCTGTAAGTTCTCAGTCTGTGTCTTTACCAATGCTTTTTACATATTTGAGATGTTCATGTCCCACTTGGTTTTCCTGGTCCTGGTTTTACCTTTCTGGTCTGTAACCAAGTTGTCGAACTCTTCTTGACTGTTGGAGTTGTGTTTTCGTCGTTATTTGCTGTTATTACTTCCTCTGGCTCTTCGAAGATACACGCTGCGGACCAGTTGTCACGGTAACGGTCCGAGATGGGAAAATATCAGACCGCAGATCAACCAATCCAAGTCATATAATAAAGTATCTTCTTCTTCTTCTAAATGGACTTTTTCTTGATCCATGGAACTCTTCTTGAAACGACTACAAACTGAATGCGGCGGATGCTAACTGTCATATCACTGTTGTTTGCATTAAGTTTGTCAGTGTAGAGTGATCGTCAGTACATGCAGGAGTTTGTTTAAGGACAGAAATACATAGATAGATTTTAATTCTTCTTTCCACAAGTCTCGGGTCGCTCTCGGTCGCTCTGCCTCATCAGCTCCTGGTGCATTATGGGACCAGGTAAAGGTGGAAGTGGAAACAGCTGAGATAGGTTTGCCTCATCTGTTTTTAATCATGTAAAAGATATAAAATGACTAAAAGCGGAGAATGGAGGAGGACGGGGTGAAGTGGATCTGTGTGTAAATGTATTTTTGATTTGATTCGAGCGACAATTCAAGTCAATTCATTCTTGTGCTAAATCCCAACAGTAGATATCTCGCAGGACTTTACAAAACTGTTGAATTCACCAACACAAATCAGAAATGCAACGATAAAAACAGACACCAGTAGCTCGCCAGCCCCTTTCAGGTAGCTCCCAAAAGGATTTTAGTATGATCACAAAAAGGAGTAGCTCTCTGCCTCTTCTGTTGTATTAAAGTAGCTCTCTGATTGAAAAAGAGACCTGGCGCAGAGACCTGAGAGCAGGACTATAAAGGACAGCATTACATCCTCTTTAATAACACTCAGAGAACAATGTTATAATATAATATTCTCATCTGTATCACGTTCCGTTCGTCGGCCTGAATCCGCTCGATGACACTTCCCTAATGGTCTTAAATAATTCAGATGGAGTTTTGCACTGGTTTCTCTCTGATGTCATTATCTGTAAACACAGATGAATAACAGAAGGAAACGTCTGCGACCGCGACCACAGCGCTCTCAGATGGAACCATTACCATCAGCTCTTTAGACCAGCACCGCATCATTTCAACCTAAAAGCTTCTGAAGGACCGGGATCAGACCATGTCACCGCTGCAGGAGCAAAGATGGAAGAGGTTTTACAGAATTAAAGTGGTTCGTGTGGTTAAAACAGTCGATAGCGGATGTACACGGAATAATTCTCCTGCTTTACTTTGAGATTAAGATTAAGATTAAAGATGACGAGATCCTGTGTTCGTTCCACGGTGGGGTTTAGCATAATAAAAAGAAGCAAGTATGAAATCTTCATCCGTTGCCGGGTCGCGGGGGCAGCAGTCTAAGCAGAGACACCCAGACTTCCCTCTCCACAGACACTTCCTCCAGCTCGTCCGACCCCAAGGCGTTCCCAGGCCAGCTGAGAGACATAGTCCCTCTGTGTCCTGGGTCTTCTCCGAGGCCTCCTCCCGGTGGGACGTGCCCGGAACACCTCCCCAGGGAGGCGTCCAGGAGGCATCCGGAACAGATGCCCGAGCCACCTCAACTGGTTCCTCTCGACGTGGAGGAGCAGCGGCTCTACTCCGAGCTCCTCACCCTATCTCTAAGGGAGCGCCCAGCCACTCTGCGGAGGAAGCTCATTTCGACCGCTTGTATCCGCGATCTCGTTCTTTCGGTCATTACCCAAAGCTCATGACCATAGGTGAGGGAGGGAACGAAGATTGACCGGTAAATTGAGAGCTTTGCCTTTCGGCTCAGCTCCCTCTTTACCACAACGGTCCGATACAGCTCTGACTGCAGACGCTGCTCCCTCTTTACCACAACGGTCCGATACAGCGATCACATTCCTTCACTCGTGAACAAGACCCCGAGATACTTGAACTCCTCCACTTGAGGAAGGACCTCTCCAGGACCTGGAGAGGGCAAGGCATCTTTTTCCGGTCGAGCACCATGGCCTCAGATTTGGAGGTGCTGATTCTCATCTCATCTCGTCCTGGTTCGTTGGAGCCAGCAGGACAACATTGTCCGCAAAAAGCAGAGATGAAATCCTGTGGTCTCCGAACCGAACCCCCTCCGACCCCTGGCTGCGCCTAGAAATTCTGTCCATAAAGACAGTGAACAGAACCGGTGACAAAGGGCAGCCCTGTCGGAGGCCAACATGCACCGGGAACGGGTCTGACTTACTGCTGATGAACACAGCTCTGGCTCCGGTCCAGTACCTTGGAGTAGACCTTACCGGGGAGGTTGAGGAGTGTGATCCCACGATGATTGGAACACACCCTCCGGTCCCCCTTCTTGTAGAGAGGGACCACCACCCCGGTCTGAGAGGGACGTGTTTCTTTGTTTTGGGTCTGGAGTCAGAGATTTATACTTGATTCTTGCTTCTTATATATATAATATATCTATTATATATATATATATATAATATATATTTATAATAGAGTTTACTGGAGACAAAGTTAGAGATTAGATTGTAAATTATTGTCATGTATCTCGTGCTGTGTGCTCCTCACTCCTTCTGTGCTGTTAGTGCGAGGCAACACTGACATTTCCCTGTGGGACAGAATCAGGATCTCGTCATCTTAAACTGAATCAATATTCCCAGGCTTTATTCAAAGGTGTTTACTTAAAGTCAAGTGGAAGGAAATGTATTTTTAGTCTTGTTGATCTTTGGGTTTGTGTTTAGATAGTTTGTGTCAGATTCTCGCTCAGCGTTGGTCCAAATCTCTAATCTCTAATCTCTAATCTCTTCTGTCTGTTTTGAGTTACGTTCATTTTCCGGGTTCTTCCGGTGCTGGCTGCGTCTCCGTCACCACAGGCGCATCCATAAAACACTCAGAATGACGCCCATTTTGAGGCAACAATTTGGGATAAAATATTGGAATTTCCCTATTTGAGAAAACTTGTTTACGTCATGGTCAGACCTGCAGATCCTGTCAGACCTCTGAAGCTAAGCAGGGCAGGGCCTGGTTAGTAGTGTGATGGGAGACCTCTGGGAACAGCAGGTGCCACAGTGGGGCGGGTGCAGCTGTAAAGTGCCAAACTGTGGTTGTGTCCTTAGGCAAGACACTTCCC